TTTGTAATATTATCGGATATCCGATCCGAAATTAAAAGAAATTAGGGGAAAAAATTTGAACTAACTTGAGGCCCACTTATTTTTCCTAGCATGCCCAATAGTGAATTTTACCATCATAATGTTCCTTTTTAAATGAGAGATCATTTTCTAGTTTTCTATTGACATTCGATGTGGGATAAGATAAAATTGAATTTCAATTCTAAATATAAATATTTTATTTCATTATTTCCATTAACAAATCAAATTATTTGTTACATATTAATTATTAGTTTTTGAAATTGTAAAATTAATTACAATAATAAATTTAATTAAGAAAAATATAGATATTTATTTACTTTAAATTAGTATACTAAAATTAGAAAAATATTGGTTGAAATCAATTTTTTTTTAATTTTCCAATTCTTAAGCAAGTTTAATAATTATAATTATTTTAAAGCTTTTTTATATTTTGAATTTGATTATTTTTTATTCTAAATTTATTTATTTTAGTGACAAATAATATGCCATAAAAATATTTTACAGACTCAATTATTTATAACAAATCGGATCGGATTGTTATCGGATCAGATTGCCCTATATCGATATTTGATCCATTTAGTTAATGGATTATCGGATTCGGATCTTGATCGGGTTATCGGACTAAGACCCTAAATCCACCTCCCATTAATTTAGTCTTTTTCTCATTTATTTATTTTAGTGACAAATAATGTGTCATAGAAATATTTTACCGACTCAATTATTTATAACAAATCGGATCGGATTGTTATCGGATCGGATTGACCTATATCCATATTTGATCCATTTAGTTAATGGATTATCGGATTCGGATCTTGATCGGGTTATCGGACTAAGACCCTAAATCCATCTCCCATTAATTTCGTCGAATTCCGATCAAAATCCAATCCATTGACAGCCCTACCTCCACCGCAGAACAGTAACTTTCACTATCCAACAAGCTATTAAAAAATGTTTGTAACCAAAACCTGCCATTGCTGGCTGCAATCAAAATTGAAAATCTTAAGTTTCCCCAAACAAGATCGTCCACCTCGATTTCATCTTTTAATGCGATTTCAATTTTTCAAGTTATAAATGGCGGTTTTAGCTTAAACTTGACAAAATTGCGGAGAAGAAACTGGACCCACCTCTCCTTCCTAAATCTCGGGGAGAGAAGTCCCCTCCAATCGTTACTAACCAAAAAATGCATCCAACGAAGCATTCAGATACGCAGCCCCTCCTTTTCGACTCCCAACACCAAGAACCACCATACGTTGTCGTATTGACCTACCAACCACCGCACATCCATCGTGTTCTCAGTAAATCCTGTCACTGCCGCCTAATATGCGTTGCCACTTTATTTCCCTTCCTTGTTGCAGCCGCCTACCTTCTCGGCCTCCGATCCCAACCTCTCTATCACCCGCCTCCGCCACGCTCGTACTCGACGGAGTTGAGATAATGAGCGACGTGATTCTGTTGCTAGAGGACTTGACAAAGGGTGTGATCCCTTTCCATATCAAACTGAATAATAGGGTTTCATTGGTCGATTTGTGAGCCTTTAAATAATGAACTGATTCGACCCACAATTATTTTAAATTTATTTTACCCGACCTAATCCGGATTTATCCCTAACCCGACCTTTTTTTGGGTCGGGTCGGGTCGGGTCGGGTCGGGTCGATTTTTTGGGGTGTGATTTTCAAGTTCAGTCCTAATTTGAATCATTAGACACACAATTTGGAAATTAACACATTACTTAGAATTAACATAAACTTGTAAATCATAGCATGACGTAACGCAAATTCCAAACACACGTCCTAGATCATTTGTTGAAATTCACAATACCAAAGACACGTGAAGGACAACATGCAATTAGTATATTTAGCTGCAAGGAACACACTGACGTAATTCTGTCACGATATTTGAAAGGATTAAACCATTTGTACATTGTTTTTGTACATGGAGTTTGACATACCTTTGTTAATTCAAAAGTGTTTGGGCGGGAAAGTGTGTTTTATTTTTAAACTGATCAATCATGCTGCGACACGTGGAAAAGTGTAAAACTCGATGTCAAATTCCATGTACTTGTAGCGTGATTCTATTTGAAATCCAACATTAAGCTCCACTTCATTATTTTTAAAATATATTATTCTCTCTTATTTTTAACCACATTTCTTAATAAAATAATATTATAAGTAAATCTAAAAAAAATTCTTATTTTTTAACTACACATTCTCCATCAAAATACTATTTCAAAATGTATTCTTTCCAAAATTGGGACTCAAACATGCGCTAAGTTTTTTACTATGCATTTGTTATTTGGAATATGATTTTCTGCAATAAAATTCCATGATGCTTCAATTAAATAGAATTCACCTAAAGTTGTAATATATATCATAACGTTACAACAAAATCGAAAAAGTCATAAAAAATCATTCGATGAAATAGCCAATATCATAGAAATGCAAGGAAAGAGAGTGCAGCAATTATCTTTAAATCTCGGGAACCCAGAAATGAACGGTTAAGTATGTATTTCTTCATGAAATATGAATTTTCAAGCTAAATCAATTACTCGAATTTTTCACCGTGATTTCTTGCAGAAATTGTTTATTACAGTTGAAAACCCGATACAAATTATGCCCTTGTTTTATTCCATTATTTTTAAAATATATTTTTTCTCTTATTTTTAATCACATATTTTTCAATAAAATAATATTACACGCTAAACCAAAATGTTTCCTTATTTTTAATTACATATTTTCCATCAATATACTATTCCAAAATACATTATTAAATTGTAATGGAGTTCAAACAAGCCCTATTTGTCTAAGTAGATATTCGGAGTGCAAATAAAGAAATGAGATTTTGGATATTGCTATGAGCGATGCCTATTAACAGTGATGATTCCTCTCTCTCCAAATTAATCCTTTTGAATTTGTGTTTCTGTAGCACCGTGATATCAGTCATTTCAAAATTTCAGTCACAAACTACATAAATTGGGAAAATTTAAAGGCTCAATAAATTTTCTTTTTTTTGGAGTTATGTAGTATATTTAAAGCCAGTTTGAACCCCATTTTTATTGAAGAATGTATGTTGGAATGGTAGTTTAATGGAAAATGTGTGGTTAAAAAATAAAGAAAGTTTTGGATTTGGGTGTAATATTATTTTATTGAAAAATATTTGGTTAAAAAGGAAGAAAGAGAAAAATGTATTTTGAAAATAATGAGAATCAAACAATAATTTAAAAAGTTTTTATTATATTTTGAATTGTTTCATATTTCGTAAGGCATTTATGATTTTTTTCCACTCTAATTTTCTACAAAATTCAGCCCATTTAGGTCCAGCGTCTATTCACTCATTTACGGGCTGCTAACATGGGCTCGTAGGGGCTAATGGGTGAGATCGAAATTTTGGCGCGAATTCTCCCGCCAAAAAAACGACACACCAGAATCTGATGCCCTAATTCCACAAAACCAAAGCTACCACTTATTCTTCCACACACACTCGCCGCCTAAATGTTTCCATTAGACCCGGAACAAATAAGAAAATGGCTAGTGACGATGAAACAAGTTCGGCTGCTAACACCGCGGCCAATGGAAATGGGAACCCGCCGGCGACTCTCGATTCGCCAACGGCGGCCAATGGCAACGGGAATCCGCCGTCGACTCCCGATTCGCCAACTTCTGCTGGATTTAACACCGATCAGCTGCCTTTCAACACCAGTCAGAACTATACCGACGACGACGAAGCCTCTGTCGACCCTGAAATCATTCGAGATGATCCTGTTGACGGTATTGACGACGAAGAGGAAGAAGGGGAGGACCTTTTCCACGACAATTTCATGGAGTAAGACTTTTACTTCCTTGCAATTTGATTTATATTTCATACTAGACCAATAGTTGATTATGTGTAATCTTGAATGCTGTCTGATCTTGTTAACTAATTTGTAACTATAATTTTAGTGATTATCGGAGGATGAACGAGCAGGACCAGTACGAGTCAGTGGGGCTAGACGATTCGATGGAGGATGAGAGGGATTTGGATCAGATAATGGCGGACCGTAGAGCAGCCGAGATGGAACTCGAAGCCAAAGAAGCTCGATTTTCTCAGCGCAAGCTTCCACAACTTCTCCATGATCAAGGTCCAATCTTTGTTGTTATGTTTTGTATGTCCAACACTGGATACATCACTACAACGTTCTTAATGTGTGACGCTGACTTTTTATTGCTTCTCTGAATTTTTAATTGATATTCATAACAATCGTGATATGTTTGGAATCATGAAATTCACACTTTGAAATTGGAAATTGAAAAACTTCTCTTCCTATCTGAATTGATATTTTTGCGCAGCTTCAACACCGTGGCCAAGTCCCTTAATACAAAATGCAGTCTTTATTGGATTCCGTTAAAATAATTACTAAATATCTGCTCGAATTTCTTTCTATTATACCGTATTTATTTTTCTGTTATGTGTTATAAGATGGGGGTTCTGCTACATCATTTGTTATAATTTTAGAAATTAAAAGGGATTTCCCTTGTTGCAGATACTGATGACGACAATTATAGGCCATCAAAAAGAACCAGAGCTGACTTTAGGCCTCCAAATGATAGTGATGGAATGCCGAGTTCACCAGGCCGATCACAGCGGGGTAATTCTAGGGAAGATGTGCCAATGACTGATCAGACAGATGATGACCCTAATGAGGTGCGTGGTTTTCCTTAGCTCTGATATTTTCACTTACAGGACGTTATTAATAATACTAAAGGCGATTTCGTCGATTGATGGATATTGATGTAGGATGAAGACAATGATGAAGGCGAGTTTGAGATGTACCGGGTTCAGGGAACCCTTAGGGAATGGGTTACTAGAGATGAAGTTAGGCGTTTCATTGCGAAGAAGTTCAAGGAATTCTTGCTCACGTATGTCAACCCAAAGAGCGAGCATGGGGACTTTGAATATCTACGGCAGATTAATGAAATGGTCTCTGGTAAGGAAGCTTCTCAAGCGCAACGTATCTGTTAATATGTAAGATGTAACTTGTACAGGGATTCTTTGAAAAATTGGCTGCACAATGCTTGTTATCATAGATCAAGAAAAATATTGTAGAAATTGGTTCTTTACCTCAATCATTTATATCTGCAGTTAACAAGTGCAGCCTTGAGATTGATTACAAACAGTTCATCTATATACATCCGAATATTGCTATCTGGCTGGCAGACGCACCCCAGTCTGTCCTTGAGGTTATGGAAGAGGTAGCCAATAAGGTTGTTTTTGACTTGCATCCAAATTACAAGAAAATTCATCAAAAGATTTATGTACGCATAACCAACTTACCAGTTTATGATCAGATACGCAATATTAGGTAATATGTCAAAATTCAGTACTGACTGCTTTCTTTAAAATTCTGTACGTGAAAATTATTCTTGATTACATTTTCTTTTCTCTGCTTACTGCAGGCAGATCCATTTGAATACCATGATTCGAATTGGGGGAGTCGTCACTCGACGTTCTGGTGTCTTTCCACAGTTGCAGCAAGTGAAGTATGATTGTAACAAGTGTGGAACGATTTTAGGGCCATTTTTCCAGAATTCATATTCGGAGGTGAAAGTTGGTTCTTGTCCAGAGTGCCAGTCAAAGGGACCATTCACTGTCAATGTTGAACAAGTAGGTTCCCAGTACCTTCTTTTATTGATGAAAGCAACTAAAAAGTGGGCTAATCAAACTTCTTGCTTTGTTACAGACTATATATAGGAACTACCAGAAACTTACACTTCAAGAGAGCCCTGGGATTGTGCCTGCTGGTCGACTCCCAAGATACAAGGAAGTAATACTGTTGAATGATCTCATTGATTGTGCCCGACCTGGGGAAGAGATTGTAAAATTCTAATCTTGTGGACTTTATTGTTTCTCTGCAACTTAATCTTATGCTCCTTAATTTTAACTTGCATGATATTTTTCTTATCCAAAATCCAGGAGGTGACAGGGATATATACAAACAATTTTGACTTGTCTTTGAACACGAAGAATGGGTTTCCTGTCTTTGCTACTGTAATTGAAGCAAATTATGTAACAAAGAAGCAGGACCTCTTTTCAGCTTATAAGCTTACCCAGGAGGACAAAGAAGAAATTGAGAAGTTGGCCAAAGACCCAAGGATTGGAGAACGAGTGGGTTTCTGAACCTACCAACATTCTCTTGTTATGTTAGACAAGAAATTTCACATGAAGTACTCTTAATTCATATCACGTGAACAAGTTCTTGTAATGAAATTTCTTCTTACTTCTTCATTGCATACATTTCAGATTATTAAGTCCATAGCCCCATCAATCTATGGTCACGAGGACATAAAGACTGCAATAGCTCTTGCAATGTTTGGAGGCCAGGAGAAAAATGTTGAGGGGAAACACCGATTGCGTGGGGACATAAATGTACTCCTGATGGGTGATCCAGGCACTGCCAAGTCCCAGTTCCTCAAGTAAGAGTTATTCCGGAATTACTTGCTTTGTCAGAACATTCAGTTTTGTAATGGCCATGTAAAATTCTATTAGGTATGTTGAAAAGACTGGACAAAGGGCTGTTTATACAACTGGAAAAGGAGCCTCTGCTGTAGGACTCACAGCAGCAGTGCACAAGGACCCGGTCACACGAGAGTGGACCCTTGAAGGAGGGGCACTTGTTCTGGCCGATAGAGGGATATGCCTTATTGATGAGTTCGATAAAATGAATGATCAGGATAGGTAAGCAATTGCATTTTGAAAAGATATCTGCTGGTTGTCCTACATTCTCTTTTTTAAGATATCTCCATATTCCAGGGTAAGTATTCATGAAGCAATGGAGCAGCAGAGCATAAGCATTTCGAAAGCTGGGATTGTAACTTCTCTCCAGGCCCGCTGTTCTGTCATTGCTGCTGCAAATCCTATTGGAGGAAGGTATTAAATAAGTTAATATTCAATTTAGCAAGAAAGTGAACTCAGGTCATTTGGCGATGCCAATGTGAGTTGCTACTTGGGCTTATGGATGCTGTCCAAACAATTGGCGACCTTATGAACGAAACATCAGTTCTTAAGTGGCTTGTCTCAGTGTAGATAAATGTGGAAATAATATACTATAATTTATTGGTCTGGTTATTACCTCTGAGTCTCTGACCCTGGTTACCTTGAACTAGCTTTCAGTTTCATGATGCCAGACTGAATCATCTTCATACATGTCATTAGTAATAGTTTCTTATCGTGGAATGAATTATTGAGTAATTAGGTTTCTCTGCAGATACGATTCCTCAAAGACATTTTCACAAAATGTGGAGCTGACAGATCCCATCATTTCCCGCTTTGATATTCTCTGCGTTGTCAAGGTTTTCTTTAGGATATTTTATCAATTTATCTATTCTTGTAATCTTTCTTTATAATAAGTTCTGTGACATTATTTGATCGTATGCAGGATGTGGTTGACCCAGTCACTGATGAGATGCTAGCAAAGTTTGTAGTTGATAGTCATTTTAAATCACAACCTAAAGGTGCTAATTTGGATGATAGGTCGGTGGCCAATTCTCAGGATGATTTTCAATCTTCCTCTACACAAACAGATCCTGAGGTCTTAACCCGAACTCAATACTTCTACTTCATAAAAAAAAAAATTCAGTTTACATGTATTTCTAGTTCCATTATATGTTTCTTATCTTTACAGATAATTCCTCAAGAATTGCTAAAGAAGTACATAACATACGCCAAGCTGAATATATTTCCAAGGTTGCATGATGCAGATTTAGACAAGCTCACTCAAGTTTATGCTGAATTACGGAGAGAATCTTCGGTGAGGTTATACTTGGCCTTTTCCTTCATTAAGAAAAACTACTGAGTGTCCTACAAACTGATTAATGATTTATGCTCCTTTCTGTTTTATGTACTTGTATAGCATGGACAAGGAGTTCCCATTGCAGTGAGGCACATAGAATCAATGATACGGATGTCTGAATCCCATGCAAGAATGCATCTTAAACAGCATGTCACTCAAGAGGACGTGGACATGGCTATTCGCGTTCTGCTGGACTCATTCATTTCAACCCAAAAATTTGGTGTGCAAAAAGCTTTGCAGAAGGTATCTACAGGCCCAACCATTGGTTCAATTATTTTATTGAAATCTTTAATTGTATTTTGTTTTATATGGTATCATATTGAAATAGTTTTGGCAAGTTCTATTTGCTCAGTCCATTCTAGATTCTTTTTAGTTTTCTTAACTCCACTGTTTGGGATTCTCAAAGATCAAATCAAATCTGCTGCTGGGCTCACATATTAGCTTGTTAGTGTCATGTTTTTCCTCTCCAAGATTATATCATCTTGGTACATGATGGTATTTGTAACATTATATCTTGATGGGTTAAAAATTTGTAATTTTCTGCAGAGCTTCAAAAAGTATATGACGTACAAAAAGGATTTCAATGCTATTGTTTTGCACCTTCTGCGTGGACTTGTGAAGGATGCACTGCACTTTGAAGAAATCGTGTCTGGTTCCACTGCAAATCTCACTCATATTGATGTAAAAGTGGAAGAGCTTCAATGCAAGGTACATTTGAATTAGTTTCCACTATTATATCATCCATCATTATTGCTATCTTTCAATTTTAGATTCTAGTTCTTCAGTGAGTATTGTCTGATTGAGCTTGTTGATATTCTCTTCGTGCAGTCTCTTGATTATGGGATCACTGATCTGATGCCGTTCTTTAGTAGTATGGAGTTTGCTAGAGCTAACTTCGTGCTGGACGAGGGACGGGGTACAATTAGGCATCACCTTGCGCACTGATAAATTGGCTTTTAGTAGTCTTGAGGGTATTACAATGTCTCCATTTGAAAGCCCAGTTTGTCTTTCCTCTTCATAGTTGAAGTTGTGCTTTGACTCGTTCAATGTGTATATCTAAGTACTTAAAACTTGGTCATCAAGCAGAAAAATTGTTTTTAGCTTTGAATTTGGCTTGGAAGACAAGGTTGCAATCTTCAAATATTTATGTTCGATATTGTTCTTTATTTATTTATATGAATGAGAATTTTTATAAATTGATGATGTCATGATGAATAATATTTCATATTTTAACTTGTAAATGTTTTTGAAAAATTAAAAAACAAAAAATAATTATCATAACACCTAGACTGCGACCCTTCAGTGGCTGGACCTAATCTAGTTACGTAATAAGAAGTTATCCTTAGAAATAGCAATGTTTCCCTACGGTTACGCCTATGATCTGTCCATAGTGTAACGTGTTCTAAATTTTGCCTCATCCCTTACCTTGCACCTTAGTCTGATATGTTGGATAATTTCAACATATATGGGGTCACACGTTGTACATTGAAATGTGTGGTGCTATTATTTAAATAATATTAGTCAATTAAAGTGATCCGATAAAGATATATTATGACTAATGGGTATTAGATTTCATGGAATTATAGTGTAGACATCGGAGTGTTGTTTTAAATTGATGAGGGGCCAATTTGAAGCAATTGAAAGATAGTGACTATTGAGTTACTATTATTATTTTATATGGTTGTGGTTTCCATTTGTTGGTGTTCTTCAAGCTACTCTACATCCCCATCAATAGAGAGCAAAACCTAAGGGAAGATCATCAATCATTTGGAAGTTCCTAATTTATCCGGCTAAGAATTTGATTGTCATGGATCAAGGTATGGTTTTTTATGTTTTGTTACTTTCTTGGATTTCAACATGGAGTAAGATCTATGGTTATATATTATTATGAATTTAAGATTTGATTATTGTTTTGATCAATAATCATATTATGTTTTTCTATCATGATACTCCTAAAAATTGCAGTTGAGTGTTGGATGAGTCTGATCAGATCGTGTTGCTAACCTTCAAAGACAGCTGCATTTTGGCTTTTCGAGCACTCCCACATGATGATCACCAACAACTCCATTTCAACTACTGCTAACTCCTAACTCCTTCAAGCCTCAAGTAAAAACTGTGCGTGGCTATTTTTGTTAAACCTCACTAAAATAATTGGTCAAAACTTGGTCAAACCAAGTAATAAAACCAATTTTCCCAACAAATTTTTCAAATAAAGCTTTGCAGTGTAGAAATGTGACATATACATCAGATTCCCGCTTAAAGGGTAAAGTCAGACGTATTTTAAAAAATTGATCTATGGATAAGAAATATTTATTTCCATCCATTGAATCAATAGGTGAGCTCCAAACATTGGAGTAAATAACGTAAAAGAACTTGTAATAGATGACAAAAAATGGAATTCTATGAGACTTCGTGCGTTTGCATGCATTACATTAGGCTTACTCAGGCTTAGATCTAGACACTGACACTCCTCACTGAGGTCTGTGTTACACACAGTTTCCTTAAAACAGATTCACCCCCTCATCGTACGTGCTTGAGGTATGATAGGAGCGTCTGTCTCTCAGGATACAACGGAAAAACCAGTAAAATTCGAGAACAATAGATTCTACTCCGGCGAAATGAACAAGTGTCTGAAAAATATCACCATAGACTCGAACAGAAATAGAAAATGCAGGAAAATAGAAATTGTATGCAGATGAATTTACAGATGAAAATTCTTGTACTGAACTGTGGAAAAACGAGACACATATAAAGACAGGCTGCCCATTCATTTCATAGCAATTAAAATAGGAGTTTCAACAGTTTTCGAAAACCAAAAGTCTGTTGAAAATTAACAAAAATGTAGCAAAACGTGGACACTCCTAAGGGGCTAATTTTGCTCCTTTCGATTCGACATTCGTGTACGCAGGTCGCGTCCGCACACAAGTTCAAGGTCCGAAGACTATTTCGGTCCAAGATTTGCACCCCCTGCACGCACGTGGAGAGAGCCTTTATACCACACATGATTACACTATTCTAAAGTGTAATCCTTTATAAAGTGGTTTTTTTCATCCACTTCCAATGTGGGACAAACCTTATCTTTAGCTTTCCCATCAACATAAACTCCTTTCACATGGCATATTTTGAGCTTCAATTTCTCATTCACCTGAACATCATTTTTGACAAGTAAGTACATGACATGGGTTAGTGTTATTTGTGTTGACCATGGTAGAAGGTGTGATTGGATTTTATTTAAAGATGATTTTCTTTACGGAGTGTGGCTCTAATACCATGTGGAGAATTGTAGAAATATCAGAGAATTTATTAACTCAACTCACCGATTTAATTGAGTTACATACCTATTTATAAGATTTTACAAATAACCTAGATTAACATGAACTCTATAAGCTAAGTGATAGTTACAAAATATATCTAAAAAAAGATTATCTACATTAAGAAAATATACACATTATTTACATAAGAAATAAGGTTATCTACACACACGAAATAAGGTGAGTTATCTATAATAATATCTGTTGACCTCAAGTTTTGTATCTCCCCACTCGCATACATGTAAGCTCATTTCCTATATACTTGGACAAATTGTTTGTCACCTGTGACCTTCTTCGATGGTGGGAAGACAATCGCGAACACTCTGACTATTAAATCAGTCAACAAGAAGAAATATAGTGGGTGTAGGATGACCTTAAAGCGCAAGCCACGAAAGTGTTAAGAGCATCGGGAATATATAAACGAGAGAGAGAGAGAGAGAGAGAGAGCGAGCGAGCGAGCGAGTTTAAGATTTATATGTGTGAAGTTGTATTACCCCTGAGTTGGTATTGGTTATAGGCTTTTATAGTTGCATGGTCGAAGTAGTGGCAGTTGGATGAAGAAGCACATGGCTTCATCTTAACAATCGAGGCATCCCATCCTAAATGTCGTATCATACATCATAGGACATGTAGTATTTAATGTTATCTGAAAAGGTAGTCACCCTATTGCTTAGGTTGGCGTACCTATGTTGTAGGCTGACAAGACTTGACATTTTCCTGTTGTAAAATGTCACATCAATCACTCATTTGATCTTTATGTAGAAGATCTCTTAGGAGAAGTGGCTATGAAAGATGCTCTTCTTTAGCTAGAAGGCTTCCACCTCATCGTGTGGATTTTGGCTGAAGTGGTGAATATCTTCTCTATAAGTGGCTTGCAGCAGGAAGTGCCTTGCTTCGATCACTGAGCGTCGGCTACAAGTGACGCTTTGGTTAAGGAACCTTGGCTTCGTCATCTTTGATGACATGGAATGTGGGCATTCGGTTGGGCTTCTAGATGGCTGCCATGTGCGCCACTTCTTAAATCTCGATGGCTAGGCGTAACTCTAGTATTTCCTTCCTATTTGATCAAGCTCCACACCAGAAAGATGAGGCCAAAAGTTGTAGCTCTTTACTTAGTTTAGCTGGCAGTTGGAGTATTATCCTTGTTTGATGGAGATTAAAATTAATTTTTTATTAAATTTTGATAAAAGTTTTAAAAAATGTAATTAAAAGTAATTGTTGACTTTAACTTAAATTAAAATCTAAATTCTAATTCTTACGAAACAATACAAACAATAACATAGTGTACGTTGGGATTGCATGTGCTACAATATTAATTAGCACTTCTTTCTCCCCAACAGGAAATAAACTCCTATGCCAAAGTTTTAGTATCTACCACACTTTTTCTCTAACCCCGTTGAAGATTCTCTCCTTGCTACGCCTCTTACTGACGGGAGGTCAGGATATTTGCTAGGCCGTTGAATGTGTTCGAGCGTGAATAGCTCTAACACCATGTGTTTAGTGGTCTCTAATGTGTTCGGCTTACCGTAATCGCCTACTTCTGAATATTAACTTTTTGGATAGAGATGAGTTCAAAAACTCCAGATTTAATAGGATGCAATTGTTAGACAACATAATTCACCAAAATTGTTTTATACAAGTTTTAAAAATGGTGAATTGAAGATTGAAGCACAACATATGAAAGACACGAAAGTCAAATGAATGAAATCAGGGGATTAGGGGCGAATCCAGGATTATGGTTCGGAGGGAGGTGGGGCGCAGACAGAATTATGTAAAAAATAATTTCAAATTAGACAATAAAGATAACATTCAAAAAATGTAGTACTTATTTTACAATTGTTCCTTACGATTTTTCATACTTTGAAAACGCCGTATAATAGCCTTGTCATTAATTTCATTAAATACATCATACACAACTAAGCTATTATTAATCAATTGGTCTCCAATCTGATTACACAGTCTATTCTTCACAATATTCATAGCAGAAAATACTATTTCAACTGTAGCAGTGGCACCCTGAAGAGTTAATCCTAAAGTCACAAACATTTAAATTAACGGATACACTTTATTTATTTTGGTCACAACCAACTTCAGTGTAAGTTCACCAAATTTCTTCAATTCTTCAAACTCCTTGCTAGAGCACATATAACAATATAGTTTCGAAACTGATAATCAAGTGCTATGAGTTGTACTTTTGAAAATTTTTAGGATAATACTTAGCAAGACGAATTAATATATCATTATCATATCCAAAGAATGGCAAAATTTCTTTCAACAGTGCCATGCGCATATACAAAGAATGCATAAATATGTCAATAGTGAAATGGCAAAATCTCTTTCAAGTCATAGACTTAACCAACTTTCATTAGTTTTATTTTGCAGCAAACACAACCTTTAAATGGTTAGCTCGATTGATAAATTGGCGTGCATAGGTGAATTTTTTGCAGTTCCTAATCCTTCCCAGTGAGTTTACTATCAATTTACTACCAATCTGATTTACTGTCAATATACTATCAATTTACTGAAACCACATTAGACTCTACCCCACTTGCTCATAGATTATACATGGTTTTTCTTCATTGTCCACTGAGTTATGATTGCCAAACGTGGTGAGTGGGAATTAAAGAAATGCTT